TGTCGAATTGAACAAAGCTATATCAATCCCCAAACCTATGATGTTTATCTAACGCGTTTTTCAGAGGCCACCCAAATGATCATTGAGGAAATTAATTGTATTCTTGAATTGCTCTTGAGTGCTCATCGGTTCTTTGACTTTCTCAATAGCAATGTTGCGCGCCAGAACAATTCTGTACCTAACTTGCCCCATGGAATGAATGAGAGATGGAGGCTAATAGATGTAAAATTAAGTGCCAATGATAACCCAGCCAAACTTCTTGGCTATATTCAATGCTATAGCGCAACTTATCCTCTTTGGGGAACTTATATAGGTCTAACTATGCCTTAACCTTTATATGCAGTCATTTTATGTTAATCTTAGATTAATCTTTATTCTAACAAACTATTGCGACTGGGCTCGTGTTGGATCTCTAGAATTAGTCCTCTAGCCGATTGATGTGGACATAGATTCACACCACATCATTACAACCCAAATAAATCAAATACTAACTCAACATCTCTATGTGTTCTTTATTGTACGTGCATTAAACCAGACCGCGTTGCTTATCTTAATATTGCGTTCTGGCCTGAGTGGGCACCCTGTGCTACGCTTTATAGCACACTCCGCCCACCCACTGCTACTTACTGTGCGCTCTTATGAGCATTACAAGGAGTGAACTCTCCAGGGAGACCATGGGATCTGAATTGTAATTCGCACCTCTATTTATAGTTTTGAGGACGCCCTAAATATGCCCAAATAGAGTACTTCTATTAAATAGACTCGTTCTCCAGTGGCCTACTAATTAACATTGTAGTCCACTGATGTAGATCTAGATTCACAAGATAATAAACAAACACTAAGTGAAATTCCAAAAAGAAAATCAGAAAGTATACTCTTTACAATATTGGTAGGGATTGGATTGAAATATTTGGAAAAATTCACAACAATTATAATAACTCAATCTCTGACAATTTATTAGAAGAGACAGACTAACACAATTAGGGCTAAACATATTCGATCCAAAGTCTGATTTACTACATGATTGGTTTACT